AGGAAGGATTTAGAGGGAGGGAGGGAGGAGTTAGAGAGGAGAGGGAATGGAAGGGAGGGAGGAGGGAAGGAGAAATTGCCGCCGCTTCCGAGGTTAACTTGTGATGCCAAAACTTCTTTCTTTCCACATACAGCCCCGCTCGGCGGACGAAAGCGGCGCTATTTCTTTGCAGCGAACAGTGGCAATATCGGCGGATATTTCGAGTGGGGAGGAGGGTTATTCAACGCTTGTTTCTAAAAAGGAAGACGGGGTTTGTTTCCCCTCCCGTTTTTCGGCCAAAAGTCGAGGCATGCCAGGACGGCCGCGGGGACTGTGGTGGTTGGTGCGGGGCGTCGATCTCTCAGGTTCCCGGCTCCAGCCGGCGTGGCTTGCTCAAGCACCCGCTCAGTTTGGCGGGATGAAACAGAGGTCGATCCGGGGTGTCGAAGAGTACGGTGTCCGCGTGTAGTTCTAGGCACGGCTAATGTATTTGCGCGGCGCGATGCTACAATGCCTGAGAAAGGAATTCCGCAGAGGTTTCTCTCGGGAACAAAACGCGGTTGTAAGTGCCAGGTTCTCAAACAGAGGTTGATGTTTGCAGGTGCGTTCGGGTTAAAGCCCGCTTTCTTCTGTGAGGGGAAGTTTGACTTCGGACGTGAGTGACTAAAGGCTGGGTCAGGCAGTTTCAAGCCAGAGAAGCAGCCAACAAAGGTCTATTATACTGGCATTTGTCTATGAAAGAAGAGAAAGAGATGCTACTAGTTTTGCCTTCCGCAAATAGTTTTGGCTCCCAGAAGTGGGATTAAAGTGTTTACTCGCTTTAAGGGTGTGAAGGGTCAAAGTAGGAGACGTATCCTTTTTCAAAAGAGCTTTTTAAAAAGTTATAAAAAGATATTCACCTGAATGCCTTTTTTTTTTTTTTTTTGCTGAACTAAAAAACAAATCCACCAGCGACTGGTTCTCTCTTTCTAATAAAAAGATCTTCAGTGTTGGAATCCTGCCCAGAGTTACCCTGGTGGAGGAGTTTATAAATATTGCACAATTAAAAATAAAAACGGCTAATTATAAATTGGCAATGGGGTATCAGGATGGTTTCAGGCTGTTCCTTTTCTCACAACTTAGGCTCACCTGACAGTTTTTCCACAAAGCTTTTGCTGGTATGTAGTGTGGGGATAGAAAGTCTATTCTAACACCTTTGAAGGGGGAGATTAATTTATCACATTGTCTATCTTATGCTCACAATCATTCTGTTATGAAGAAGAAAGGAAATGGTCTTCCCAAAGAAGGAGCATCAAATGCCAGAGCTAAGTAGGAAAGGACAAGAAGCAATCCATCTCTTGTCACAACCCAGTCTCTTCCCCAACTGAATTAAGAGTGATTTGGTTTTTTTGAAGGAAATTTTAAAAAAATTAGAAACTTTAACCTTAGACTGTCTAACTTTAACCTTAGACTGTCTACTATTGACCTCACCCCTTTCCTAAGAGGTCTGTAGGGGGCGTGCATAAGCGCACCAACGTGCCTACCGTCCCTGTCCTATTGTTTCTCTTATTCTTTTATTTTTCTTATATGTACCCATTTCATGTATTCACAACTATGTATACATTTATACTTATTATCTTGTAAACAATTGGCAAATCAAATAAATAAATAAATAAATAAAAATAAATAAATAAATGCAAATACATTCGTTTTCTGCAAGCAATAAATAACATTTTCTGCAAACAACATTTATTACTGTGGTTCTAGCATTCCAGCTAGTCTCATGAGTCATGCGGGGGCATTTTTATCCCCCTTCCCCTCTATTTTGTTCAGTGAGCCCTATTGTATTTTATGGTGTTTATTCCCAAGAAAGTATGCCTACAACTCAGGATAACAGAATTGGAAGGGACCTTGAAGGTCTTCTAGTCCAACCCCCTGCTCAGGCAGGAAACCCTTTATCATTTTAGAGAGATGGTTGTCCAATCTCTTCCTAAAAACCTCCAGTGTTGGAAAACCCACAGCTTCTGCAGGCAAGTCATTACACTGATTAATTGTTCTGTCAGGACAGTTCTAGGTTGGTTCTCCATTCATTAGTTTCCAGGCATTGTTTCTTGTTCTTCAGGTGCTATGAAGAAGAGGTGGCTGTCATTTTGTGGCTGCCATTTTGTGGCCACCATTAGTTGTGGCCGCCATTTTGCTGCCTGAAATGTGGTGCTTCCCTGCCTCATAAAGGCATGAGCTGGACTGGCCATTAAATGTCCTGATCACATTCATGATAAATCAGAGGACTTTCCTGCATCTGGGGACTATTTAAGCCTGATCAACATAGATCCTGCCATACAGTCTATCCCTAGCAATGGTGAGTAGTAAGGATAGTCAGAATTAATAAGAGCAGCTGCTGCTCAACCACATTTGTTACCTGAATCCCCTGAAAAACTCTCCCTTGTCCCCTGGCCATGGCCAGCCCTGGTAGCATGAGCATCTTAGTTGTGACAGTGATTTTGAATTAGGCAATGAAGTTATATTTTCTTTTTAATCACATGACCCCCACAATTAGCAATATGTAGTAGAGGACATTTTTCCATTGTGGTGCTTTTGAGAAAGGACTTTGAGGCAAGGCCCCGGGAGGTTTCTCAGATCTAAAAGGGCTGGAAATAGCAGAGTTTAAAAGAAGGGAATGCCATTTGATTTTAAAAAGAAAAAAAAGGTGGGGCAGAGTTTACAAAAGAAGTAAATCCAAAGTTTAAAATAACTTAATTGCACCTCAATTCTAAAGATTCCACACCTTGAAATTACAAATCACACAAGTTACATGGTTTTGTTAAGAGAAAAGAGCTGGCCTTTGTAAAAGTGAGTCAGACAGTTCAATATACCGTAGAAATACAGGATAGATCAGTCAAAGTTATGTGCTGCATCGGAAATGCTGAGAAGATAGCAAGGATGTTTGCACAACCCTATTGGTTTATATCAGGGATCTTGGAGATTGGAACTTGCCAATTTTAAGACTTGTGGGCTTCAACTCCCAGAATTCCCCAGCCAGCTTGACTTTTCAAGTCCACAAGCCTTAAAGTTGCCAAGTTTGAAGAGCCTTGGTTTATAGAGTTACTGTAACCCAGTTTCCCAGTTTTGTATGATCCCTGCAAAGGTGGAGTGTCAACAGTCCATTATACAATACTAAAATGGAGTTAGCTAGCTGTGGTTCAGTATATTAGTGCAAACACAAGCATACACCGCACATCGGCTCCCATTTAGATCTTTGGTAATTGATCATCATTATTAAATGATTTATTAAGCCAGAGTCATACGATGGTTCCTTCTTAACTCGGTTTTTGAAGAATATCCTTGAGTTTATGATTTTCCTCTGGCCTGTATTGCATGGTTTTCTTCTCTTTTGTCCCTGTTACCAGTTGTTATCTTCCAGGATTACAGCATTATATGTCATTTTGATAACTGATCTCTAACCAGCATGCCCTTTTGCATGCACTTATTTTGATAACTGATCTAACCAGCAGCAACACCAACCTCCCATTTACATATTAAAGCAGAGTCATAAAACTATTCTTTCTGTGAAATCTGTGGAATCTACAACAATTCAC